GGGAAAGAGAGAGATATTGCAGGAGAGAGAGAGAGAGATTTTGCAGAGAGAGTCGGGAGAAAATGAAGAAGAAGAAGCACCGTATATTAGGTCACAGTTATTTGCGACGACACATTCGTTGCAAATAAATTTAAAATGTCGTCGCAAATAAAAAATTATTTGCGACGACATTGTCGTCGCAATTAATACACACATCGTCGCAAATAACCTTTTTTTCCCGCCCATACTTTCTCGTCAACTAGATTATTTGCGACGACATTGAAATAATGTCATCACAAATAATCCAAAACTATTTGCGACGACACGTCGTCGCAAATATTCGATGCTTATCGTCGGAAAAAAATGGATTACCTTGGCGTCAAAAATCCGCGCCATTGAAATTTACGCGCCAATATTATTTGCGACGACATTGAACTTATTAGTGACGACATGTGCATTTCATTTAACAGAAGGTATTTGCGACGACATGTCGTCGCAAATAGTATATTATTTGTGACGACATATGTCGTCGCAAAAAAAGTCGTCACAAATGGGCATAATTGTTGTAGTGTGAACGAGGCCTTAATATGTTTGATAGTCTTCAAAGAGAGTATTAGATCATCTAACTTTAAATGATTGTGTTTTACACTCTTCGAGAGAAGAAGTTGCTGTCTTCAGGGAAGACGATAGTGTAGTTTAACTAATAATCATTTTTTAGAAAAAGAATTTAGTGTCTTCAAAGGAAGACGATCTGCAACGAGTGGTGTTCACTTAATAAATCCAGCTAATTATTACAAGCTTTAAGTGACAATTACAAATAAGTAAAATGAACAAGATTTTAATATGTTTGACAGCCTTCAAAGAGAGTATTTGATCATCTAACTTTAGGGGACGTTTGTTTCCTATATTCGTCTCTGATTCTGAATCATGATTCATGATTTTTTACAGTATTTTCTCTTAAAAAAATACACTTAAAATGAAAATAGTTATGTTTTACACTCTTCGAGAGAAGAAATTACCGTGAGAAGACAATAGTGTAGTTTAACTAATAATCATTTTTTATAAAAAGAATTTAGAGTCTTCAAGAGAAGACAGTCTGCAACGAGTGGTGTTCACTTAATAAATCTAGCTAATTATTACAAGCCTTAAGTGACAACTACGAGAGTGAGTATTAAGATTGTTTAACTCTATTAGCGATTATAACTATGTTTAATTAATAGATAGTTTAATATTTAGTATTTTCACGTGATCCCGTAAATATAGGTTTTTACAGAGTGACATAAAAATATTTACTGCGTTTAGTAATTATTCTCGTTAATTTCTCCATATTCGGAAATTAATAAAAACGAGTTTTGTTACGGTTTTTGTTGCAACAAAAACACCATACATAGATCTTTCATAACCAATGCCTAATTTTATTCATAATATATTCAACTTACATGTTACAACCCAAATTATACATATTGCCGCACTTGACGCATATAATATTATTCATTAATTACACAAACCAGACGCGTACAATCCTAATCAGTTTTTACACGGCCATGAACAATACAACCAGTAACACAGTGCATCGTAAATTAAACAAGTATTAATCAAATATAGCTTCAGACATTTGGATCAACTAGAGATTTGAATGGCTTTAACATCAGGCATTTTGACCTCTTCCTTGGGAACAGTGACAGTGAGAACTCCATTCTCCATGGAAGCTTTGATCTGATCCATCTTCACATTCTCCGGCAGCCTAAACCTCCTCTGGAATCTTCCGCTGCTCCGCTCCACACGATGCCACGTGTCGTTCTTGTCTTCCTTCTCGACCTTCCTCTCTCCGCTGATCTGAAGCACGCGATCGTCCTCCACCTCGACTTTCACCTCCTCCTTCTTCAGCCCCGGAAGATCGGCCTGAAACACGTGCGCCTCCGGGGTCTCCTTCCAATCGATCCGGGCGTTGACGAAGGCCGAATTTTCCCGAGAAAGTTCAGAGGGAAAGTATACGGACAAGTCCTTGAAGGGGTCCCAGACGTCGAGGGAGAAGAGGTCGAAGACGCTGCTGCTTCGTCGGCCGTCGAAGAAGCTTGGAATGAGCGACATTTGCGAATATATGATACGAGGAGTAAAGTTGAATTGAAACTTGGACGGATTTGTATAAAGTGAGTTTCTTAAATTTGTAGATGAATTAAAAGCTTCGAGTTTTCGGACGAGTTGAAGAGTTGGAGGACTAGTTGGGTATTTGTAATACTTGGTGGGACTATTCTAGTACTTTCCAGTGCCTTCTTCATTTTTATTTATTTATTTATTATTTTTTTTTTAGAAGACTCTTCATTTCTGTTTAAAAGTTATCTATTATTATTTTAATGAACTTTCTCGTAGTTTTGCGAACTTTACAGGACCTTCTCTACTGGCGGCTTCTATGGCCAAGTTTTGCATAATTGCATCTAAACAATAATGTAAATAAATTTTTTTGTTTGAATAAAAAATGTTGAAAATTAAGGAAATACGTGGTTGAAAATTCAGAATGTATGAATAAAAAATTATCAAAATTAAGGAAATACGTGGTTGAAAATTCAGAATGTATATTGCAAATATGGATATAGAATTTTCTTTTAAGAGTAATGTGCTTAGTTCTTTGATTAATTTATTGTCAGCTCTCATTACTTAAAAAAAAAAGAAATTTATTTTGTTAGCTCCGGTCATTATCTAATAAAAGGAAAGAATTTACTTTGTTAGCTCACCGGAGAAATTTATTCCATATCTTCAGAATATATTTACTCCACATATTGTACAAAAATCGGTGGATTCTCTAACGGTATTAAAATAAATAGGGATATGCAAAATTTTATTCTGAAAATATTTACTGCACTTATTCAGCAAAGATCGGTGAATCCTCTAACGGTATTGAAAAATCTAGTGATATGCAAAATTTTAATTGTTACATTTTGTTGACGGTCAAATTTCACCAACAAAAAAAACCGGCTGGATTACCTCTCGGTTTTCTCTCGGGTTACCGGCCGTGTGTGTGTGTGTATTTGCTAAGAATCGAATATGTAAATGATGCCAGGAAATTTATAATGGTTCACTCTATAAATTTTAGAGCTACATCCACTGTAATCTTGTATTTTTTTGTTTGGGGTAAGTTACAATTTACAATTTTTGTTCTCAGCTAGAGTTTTTTCGAACCCCTCCCTTGCTGGGGGTCTTTCTCCTTTTATATTGGGCTTCCTTCACCCAGGGGGTTTCCTTCACAGCTAGAAGCACTCAAGTGCTCTCCTCCGGTAGGCCCAGACGTAGCCCACTAATTAGCACTGTTCACTCAGCTAATTAGTCTTCTATTATGTCTCTGTGCTTCCCCGTAATACTTTCCTGTCCCTCGTGGGAGCGGTCTGACAGCTCGCAATTAATGCTTGCAGACCACCTCCACTTCTGCACGTAACCCGTTATGTCCTCTAAAGGACGTTCCTCTCGTCGTCAGCACTTCTTAGCCCAACTGCCTTCTTCGATAGCCCTTTTTACGGTCGAGAGATCTTCATCCCTTAGCGTCGACGGCGCAATTGGTCGACGCCACAAAGGATCGTCGCCCTATCTTGGACTTCGTCCTTGGGCCTTCGCAGCGGGGTATGAGGAGTCTGCAAGTGTCGAGCGTTCCTTGCTTGATGGGGATTAATCAAGGCCACGTGTCACGGTATACTTTGCCCACGCGTCCACCACATTTTCCCACACAACAGCTACCCCCTAGGTCGAGGGCGCCTATTGGGTGGCCTCGGACTTAGGTTCGGTTGCCCTTCCGTGCTTTGGGTGTGGGAAATCGGTCCCGAGCCTCCATTTGCAATTATGGCCTGGGACCTTCAGATATCCTTCGGGGAACGCAACCGTCGCGTCGATTGATTTCTCATGATAACGTACGGTCTTTATTTCAAAAGAACGAATATGGGCCTTTGGATCGCGACCTCTCTACTTCCCGCCCTACCTTATCACCGTCAGATCTGGGCAGGTTTCCCTGGCCATCGGATCTTTAAGATTTTCATCTGACGGTCAGAGTCGAGGATGCCCGTCCCTTTAAAGACCTTCTACGAACTCGAGAGCCATTTTTTCAAAACTCCAAGTTTTTCTTTCACATCTGTTGGACCGCCGCCTTCTCCGACGAATTCCTTCCTCTCCAACCTCCGGACCATGCTTTTTGCCCTTTCGAGGCGTACCGCGCAGCTGCTCTTCCTTCCAGACTTTCCCGGGAGTCCTTCTTCTCCAGTAAGCCTTTTCACCCTCTGTCTGCTGCTTTTATACATAGGCTCCTTCTATCTTTCTGTTTGAACTCTGTGTATATAGCTAAAGAATGTGTGGGATGTAGAAACTAGGGAGACTTATTTCGTTTCGTGTTTTCGCTTTGGATATCGTATCCTTGTTGTCTGTGTGCTTCCGGCTTCTGGGTTCTGGGCCTGGAATCCTATGAGCACTCGCCGTTTCCATTCTCGTATGAATGGTTGGCGTCAAGTCGTGGCGTTTGAGTTGTCGTAGCTTAGAATAATCATCCTCTCATCCTCTCGACGTCAGGGTTTTAACTTAGCTTCTTGTCTGTTTAATAACCAGAACAATGGCCCAAAGTTCCCCCAGTCGAGAGGATTCTCCGGTCGTCCGCCCAGACCTCCCCTCTATGGTGGAGATCTCCTGCTCTTCATCGTCTTCCAGCGTCGATTCCATGCTAAGAGACGTAAAAGACATCGAGGCTGGATTCGAAGCCAAATACGCACCAGTTGATAGCTTCGGTAGTGAATTCGATAGTTTTGAGCGAGTCTTGGACGAAGCTGTAGAATGAATCCCCTTCACGGGGGGCAGTTTAAGCGGGGTGGCCGCTTCGGCAGTAGACGCCCCTCTGGCTGCCACCAGTGGTGAACCGGATAGGCCTTCCTTCACAGCCGACGCTGTAGCGTCGAGGGTCCAGAACAAAGACATCATCTGGGCTGTGAAGGAAGGGTGCATCGACGGGAGGTGGTTTGAATACCTTCTTCCGGACGTGCATTTTAGAACCAGTATGCCGTCGACCGGATATCTTTCGGTCTATACTAGAGCCGTTACCGTGGGGATGACCCTTCCAGTGCATCCCTTTGTAAAAGAGTATTGCCATTTTTATGGCATTTCTCCCGCTCAGCTGGCGCCAAACTTCTGGTACTGCTTTGCTGGTGCCTGGACTTATGGCATCAGCGATTCGACATGGACCTCCCTGTAGACGAGTTTCAATTTATGTATAAGTTATGCCACGTCGTCAAGTGTGAGGGGTGGTATTTTTTGAGTGGTCACGGGAGGTCCCAGCCCAGATTTGGGAAACTTATACTGGGACCCCCTCGTCGTCACATGGGTGGAAGCCCATGTTCTTCATGATTCGGGGGCCCTTCAACTTTCATCCCAATGACCGCCTGACCCGTTGAAGGCAGGTGTAGGCGGCGTTTGGTAACATGGGTGAGTTTCTTGACTTTTGGTTATCTGACTTTGATTCATTCCGTCCTTCTTCTGACATTCCGTTCGCATTGTAGTAAGTCAGGACCGGCCGAAGTTCTCTGAGAACAACTTGGCGAGGATTGAACAGGCTTTTTCTTTCCCGTCAGAGGTTCACCATATCGACACGCTCCTGACTCAGAAAAATCTTCGCGACGCTGGTCTAATCCTTGATCTCCCAGACCCCGCTGATTTAGACGTCGTCCGTCAATACTTTCACCTAAGCGACGAAGGTATTCTTTACTTTCGACTTCCTTCTTGATTGTGACTTGGGTTCTCCCAGTGCTGTCTGTATCTTAACCTCGTCGTTTCCTGCAGAGATGGCGTCTTTGAAGATCCAACTTCCCGACAGCCAACAATCCAGGCTGAGCCAGCAGGCGTCGTCAGACCAACAGCCCCCGCCGAGCCATCCGCCCCCGTCGAAGGGAAAAAAGAGAGCTTCTTCTTCCCGCGTCCTAAAGAGCAGGAAGACTAAGGGTCCCTCGGGGTCGGAGGCGGAGACGGAACTTGTGCGAAAAAAGAGTCGCAGGGAAAAAACGCCGATGACAGAAACGTGGACACCGACGGTCCCAATTCCCGACGTCAACATTCTGCTAGCGCCGAGAGAGCGCGTGCTTATTCCAGGGGCTAAGATTATGGACCCCAAGTTCCAAGTCTCGGACATATCTGATGCTGAGATTGAGGCGATGTTGAAACTTCCCCCTCTCTTCTCTATTGTCTTTCAGGCTCTTTATGAGTCATTCCTTGAGCCTCATTGGGTTGTTGCCGCCCACTCTTCTTTGGTCGACCGTCAGCGAAAGCAGATTTCCTTCCAGATTCATGTAAGACTCCTTTTTTTTTTTAACTCGCCGTTCTATATTTCTGCTTTCCTGACCTTCAACTTTTCAGAGCCTGGTTCTTTCCATTCTCAACCTCCTTGACCTTGTCAAGGTCGAGGAGCGTAAAAATGAGATGGACGACCTGGAGGCCAGGCTTCAGTCCCTTGTTTCTGATGCCAAAAAGAAACTAGATTATGCTGTTGAGAAAAGGGACTTGGCCTTGGCCAAGCTGGCGAGTCTGGAAGATGAACTACGAAAGTTGAAAAATGAAGTCGCGAGTCTCAAGGAGCGGGCGGACCTTTCTGACAAAAAGCTGTCTGAAGCAGCTAGGGAAGCGGAGAAGCATTTTGTTGAGGGGAAAACTGAAGGGAAAAGGGAAGCTAAAGCAGAAGCTATGTTTGCTTTCAACGCCAGGCGCGCTGAGATTATTGAGGAGTTCAAGACTTCTCAGGAACTCACTGACATCCGTACCAGGGATTTTTGAATCTGCGGGTCAACAAATTGTCGACCTGATCAATAAGGAGCGTTCTGAGTGGGACTTGAGCTTCTTTTATAACTCTCATCCCCCTGTTGGTGATGACAACGTTTCCCCGCCTGGTGACGGCGAAGACTCGGCGGCTGCCGGCGAGGCCTGAAGGGTTTTTACCTGCCTCATTTTGTTTTGTAATTTTATTGTTGATCCGGACATCTTTTACTTTATCTGCTCCTTATATATATATATATATATATATATATATATATATTCAAAGGACACAGTTTTAATTTATACCTTGACTCGCAATTGCTGCTTTCTCATTAGGTCTTCGCCTTTCTTTTCTGGAAGATCTGTCGTCGAGCGTACCCCTTAGGGTCGTTGTCTTAGGAAATTCCTTGGAATTTCACTAAGTCTTTGTCTTTCCTCCTTGGAGGATCTGACGTCGATTGTGCCCCTTGGGGTCGTCGTCTTAGGAAATTCCTTGGAATTTCACTAAGTCTTTGTCGTTCCTCCTTGGAGGATCTGACGTCGATTATGCCCCTTGGGGTCGTCGTCTTAGGAAATTCCTTGAAATTTCACTAAGTATTTGTCTTTCCTCCTTGGAGGATCTGACGTCGATTGTGCCCCTTGGGGTCGTCGTCTTAGGAAATTCCTTGGAATTTCACTAAGTCTTTGTCGTTCCTCCTTGGAGGATCTGACATCGATTATGCCCCTTGGGGTCGTCATCTTAGGAAATTCCTTGGAATTTCACTAAGTCTTTGTCTTTCCTCCTTGGAGGATATGACGTCGATTGTGCCCCTTGGGGTTGTCGTCTTAGGAAATTCCTTGGGATTTCACTAAGTCTTTTATTTAACCCGTGGATATATATTTTTTGGGCAGACATGTTATTAAGGTGTGAATTCTTTTCCTTCTGCAAACATATCAATTTATTCAATTTGTAAAGAATCTACAATTGAGATATGCAAGAATTTTATACATTATTGGTAGTACAGCCTTAGTTGTTCTGCATTCCATGGGTGTTGGATCTTTTTGCTGTCGAGGCTCTCCAAAACATAGGTGCCGGGACGTAGCATTTTTCTTACGCGGTAGGGCCCTTCCCAAGTTGGGCCCAGTGGACCAGTATTTTTGGGTTTCGTGCTTTGCGTTACCCTTTTTAGTACTAGGTCCCCTGGGACGAACCTCCTCTGTCGAACTTTCTTGTTATAGTATCGCGTCGTTCTTTGCTGATAGGCGGCGAGACGTAGTTGGGAGTTGAGCCTTTTTTCTTCTAATAAGTCGAGTTCTCCGTTCATGCCTTCTGCGTTGTCATCGTCGTTATGGACGACGGTTCTTAGAGTCGGCGTTTCGATTTCTATGGGGAGCACCGCTTCGACGCCATATGCCATGGAGAAAGGCGTTTCACCCGTAGTAGTTCGGCTCGTCGTTCTGTATGCCCACAAGACCTTGGGAAGTTCCTCGGCCCATTTCCCTTTCAAATCATCGAGTTTTTTCTTGAGGGTATATTTTAATATCTTGTTGACCGCCTCGACTTGTCCATTGGATTGTGGATGGATCGGCGTCGAAAAATCTTTCCGGATGCCAAAGTCATCGCAGAACCTGCGCGTTGAGGCATTGTCGAACTGCTTTCCGTTGTTGGATACTATCGAGTGGGGAACCCCGAACCTGCATACGATGTGGTCCCACATGAATTTGGTGCAGGCCGCTTCCGTGGTTGTAGTTAGGGCCTTTGCCTCTGCCTACTTTGTGTAGTAGTCCACTGCAACGATCGTAAACTTAAACCCTCCGAGTGCAAGATGTAATAGCCCGATCAGGTCAACCCCCCATTTGGCGAAAGGCCAAGGACTGAGAATGGACGTCAAATGTTCCGGGGGCGCTCTAGGAATCGTGGCATACCTTTGGCATTTATCGCAACGTCGGGCGTACTGAAAAGCGTCATTTTTTAGCGTGGGCCAGTAGTATCCTTGCCGCAAGACCTTTAGAGCCAAAGACTGCCCCCCAGAGTGGTTACCGTAGATCCCTTCATGGATTTCGTTGAGGACCTTTTGTGCCTCGGTTTCATCCAAGCACCGCTGTAGAGGGGTTGAGTAGCCTCGTCGGTAGAGCAAACCGTCATACAATAAGTACCTAGCAGCTCTATACCTGGCCCGTCTGGCTTTGTCCTTATCGTTTGGCAATTGTGCATCCATTAGGTATTGGATGAGGGGGGGGATGAAACTTTCACCTATTCGGACAATTAATGCCTCCACCTTTTCTTCTATAGTTGGTCGCTCTAATTCCTCGATGGGGATGACCCCTAGTGTGTCGGATTCTCTAGAAGATGCTAGCTTCGCCAGAGCATCGGCGCTTGTATTTTTGGTTCGTGGTATCTGGAGTATCTCGTAATTTTTAAACTTAACGAGTTCCTCTTTTACCTTTCTTAAGTACGCTCCCATCTTCTCGCCGCGCGCTTGGTATTCTTCCTTTACTTGCGCGACAACCAATTGAGAATCGCTGAAGATGCTGAGTCTTTCAATCTTTAGGTGGCTGGCTAACCGCAGTCCGGCAATTAGTGCTTCATATTCTGCCTCGTTGTTTGATGCCTTAAATTTAAATCGGACCGCCGAGGTAATTTTGTGGCCTTCGGGGCTGATTAACAGGACGCCGGCTCCCGACCCGTTTTCACTCGACGCTCCATCCACGTAGAGCTTCCATTCTACAACCTCGACTTCTCCAGGTGCGGCGAGAGTTGGCCTATGAGAGAACTTAGCCAAGAAATCGATGAGCGCTTGGCCCTTGATCGCAGTTCTTGACATGTACTTTTTGTCGAACTGGCTTAACTCTAACGACCATTTAAAGAGTCGACCGGAAGTTTCTGGCTTTTGTAGAGCCTGCCTCAGCGGGTGATTTGTGAGAATTCGTATTGTGTGGGACTAGAAATAGTGCCGAAGCTTTCTTGAAGCTACCATCAGGGTGAGGGCCAAGCGCTCCATCTCGTTGTATCTTGACTCGGCGTCGAGAAGCTTTTTACTTACGTAGTAGATTGGCAGCTGCACCCTCTCTTCTTCTCTTACTAACATGAAACTTACGGCGTGTTGGGATACGGAGAGATAGAGGTTAAGCTCTTCGTCGATGTTCGGTTTTGACAGAATTGGGGGTTTGCCCAAATGTTCCTTCAATTTCTGGAAGGCCTCTTCACATTGGGGTGTCCATTCAAAGTGCTTACTTCCCTTCAAATCGTCGAAGAAAGGGACGCATTTGTCGGTCGCTTTTAATATGAACCTATTTAAGGCGGCGACACATCCTGTTAATCTTTGCACTTCCTTTGGCTTTATTGGGGACCTCATATCTTGTAGGGCCTTGATTTTCTCGGGGTTAGCTTCAATCCCCGGGTTGCTGACCATAAAGCCAAGGAATTTTCCCGACCCAACTCCAAAGGCGCACTTTTGGGGATTGAGTTTCATGTGGTATTTTCTTAGCACACCAAACATTTCTCCCAGATGATTGACGTGATGGCTGGCCCTGGTACTTTTTACTAGCATATCGTCAACATAAACCTCCATTGTTTTGCCGAGCTGTTGAGCAAACATTTTATTCACAAGCCTCTGGTAGGTAGCCCCTGCATTTTTTAGGCCGAAAGGCATCACTTTGTAGCAGTAGAAGCCCCTGTCGGTTATGAAGGATGTGTCCTCCTCGTCGGCTGGACGCATGGGGATTTGGTTGTATCAGGAGTAAGCGTCCATAAAGCTCAGCATCTCATGTCCCACCGTGGCATCGACCATCTGGTCTATGCGAGGGAGTGGAAAGCCATCCTTTGGGCAGGCTTTATTGAGATCACTGAAGTCGACGCATGTCCTCCAATTCCCGTTGGGCTTGATTACTAGAACGGGGTTTGATACCCAACGAGGATAATGGGACTCCCTGATGAACTCATTATTAATCAGCTTGTCGACCTCTTCTCTCAACACCTCATACCTCTCAGGGTTCATCGGCCGACGTTTTTGTCGTTTGGGCGGATGCGAGGGGTCGACGTTTAGGGAGTGACATATTACTTTGGCGTCGATCCCTTCCATGTCGGAATGATTCCAGGCGAAGACATCTAGGTTTTTTCTGAGGAAGTTTTCAATCTCACCTTTAAGTGATGGGGCTAAGCCTGAGCCCACTTTTAGCACTCTGGTGGACTCGCCTTCACCAACTTGGATCTCCACCAACTGCTCAACAGGTTGAGACCATGTGACTTCCTCTTGGATCCGGGGATCTATATCCTCGACAAGGCCTTAGTGAACCATCCTTGTCTCTTGTCTTCCCGGATGGTCATATCCGCGCAGGGCGTCCGAGTATGCAACCCTAGCTTCATACTGGTTGCTCTTCATTTCCCCTACGCCATTTGGGGTGGGGAACTTGACCTTTTGGTGGTAGACGGAGGTTATTGCTTTTAACGCTTGGAGGGTCGGCCTCCCGATTACCGCGTTGTACTGGGAGCTTCCTTTTATGACCACGAAATTGGCCATTGTGGTTGCCTGTCGAGGTTTCTCACCGGCGGTTATAGGTAGGCAGATGGTCCCTTGAGGGATGACGGAGTTGCCTGTGAAACCATATAGCGGCCTGGAGGTTTTCTCCAATTGCTCCTTTTGGATCCCCATTTTCTCCAAGCAATCGAAGTATAGGAGGTCCACCGAGCTCCCATTATCCACCAGGATTCTGCACACGGTGTGGTTTCCTATCATGGCTTCCACTACCAAGGCATCGTTATGGGAGAAATGAACCCCGCTAGCGTCATCCTCGTTAAAAGCCACATCGGTGTGGCTGTACCTTGGGGTTTTCGTGGCGGAGATGCTCCAGAATCGCTCTTGATAAACCCCCCTGGCCTCATGGGCGTAGTCTTTCTGAGACCTCCTTGAGTCTCCTCCTATATAGGGACCGCTGAGGACAGTCCTTATGACGCTGACGGGTTCGCGATCCTCTGGGCGCTGGTTCTTCTCTCGGCGTCGACCGTCATTCTGCCCACCATGGCCGTCATTCCAGGGCCTTCGCTCAGCCCTAAATTCTTGTAACCTTCCCTCACGGATCAATCTTTCGATTTCATCCTTGAGGTCGGCACAATCGTTGGTGTGGTGGCCGACATCGCCGTGGAACCTACAGAATTTCTTCTGGTTCCTTCAGCTGGGATCTGACTTCATTGCTTCCGGTCGGCGCAGCAAGTTCCCGCGGCTGACCTGGTTGAAGACCTCCTCGACTCCTATCGTTAACCCATGGTAGGAATCGTACTTTTGGAACAGTCGAGGCCTTCAGGTATCCTCTTGTCTCGGCTTTTTAGCTTCCGGAGCGTTCGTCGTTGCGTCGGGCTGCTTGTCCCCGTTTCCTCCGCCTCGACGCTTCTTCCCATCCTGCTTCGTAGGCGATGACCCTTGTTCGGTTCCTTTATTCTTGTTGGTCCGGTGCTCAGGGTCGTTCGCGTCTGCCTCTTCGGCGTTGATGTACCCCTGTGCTCGCGCCAAGAATTCCCTATAGCTGGTCGGAGGTTTTCGGTTTAGCTCTCTTTTGAATGGGGTAATTTTCTTCATGCTAGATAAGGCCCCCATCAAGGCTTCTCTATCTATTATGTCCATCGTGGTGGCGACAGCTTCCCCATACCTTGCGAGTCATTCCCTCAGTGACTCGTTTGGCTTTTGGTATATCGTCGTCAGATTCTGCTTTGGGGGGACATACTTTTTGACCCCTATGAATTGGAGGGAAAACGCTTCCTTCAACTCGTCCCAGCTCGAGATAGAGTTTGGCTTCAGCGTTCGGAACCACCTCCAGGCAAAATCCGTCAAATGGTTTCGAAAGGCTCGGCACATGATCTCATCAGCGTAACCATGTAAGAGCATGTGCCCAGTGTACATCTCCAGATGGTTGTCGGGATTTCCTCGCCCATCATATGGCAGGATTGACGGTGACCTATATTTATCGGGGAGAGGGGGTGCCATTATTTCTTTGGTAAACGGATGGTCATGTGTGCGACTGGGCGTGATATCGACGTTTACCACCTCAGCCACACGACCTATATTCTTTTTCAGGCCCGCCACGTCCCCTGTCAGTTTTTGCTCCAGGCTGGCCATACGTTCCATGATGGCGCGTGCTTCTTCTGTCGAAATGGCCGAGCCGGCTACTCTTGACGCTTCCGCCCTCTGAACGTTGGGGCCGCCTCGGGCCTGGCCGCCTACCTGCACTGAGCCTGAGTCTCCTGGCGGGTTTCCACCTGGATTCTGGGATAGCCCCTCGGGGTTCCCTGGACCTCTCGGTACCCGGTCTTCGGGATCTCGGAGTCCGACGGCTCCCAAACGGCTGCCGGGGGATTGGGAAGGCCGAGGCCTAGGAGGGCCCCGGTGATTCTCACTATCTTCGGTTCCTTCTTGGATATGTGGGTGGTCACCGTGGTTCAGATCTCCAGTAGCAGCAGGTCTCTGCGGCCTCGGGGCGTCCTCTAATGGCGGCATGGAGTTCCTTCCATCTAAGCGCTCCACCACGGTCATTAGCCCACGCACCAACTCGGTTAGAGTGGTTAGTTGGGCCTGCATCTGCATCGGGTCCGGCCGTGGTGCGTCTGGAGGTGGAACTTCATGTCCGGCCGGCGTAGATCTTCTTCCATCCCGATACTCCCTGGATGGACGGCGGTTTGTAACTATGTTGTTGGGGGTCGAACGCTTTCGGTCCCCAGCGGAGTTGCCAATTGTTGACGGTCAAATTTCGCCAACAAAAAAAACCAGCTGGATTACCTCTCGGTTTTCCCTCGGGTTACCAGCCATGTGTGTGTGTGTATTTGCTGAGAATCGAATATGTAAATGACGCCAGGAAATTTATAATGGTTCACTCTATAAATTTTAGAGCTACATCCACTGTAATCTTGTATTTCTTTGTTTGGGGTAAGTTACAATTTACAATTTTTGTTCTCAGCTAGAGTTTTTTCGAACCTCCTCCCTTGCTGGGGGTCTTTCTCCTTTTATATTGGGCTTCCTTCACCCAGTGGGTTTCCTTCACAGCTAGAAGCACTCAAGTGCTCTCCTCCGGTAGGCCCAGACGTAGCCAACTAATTAGCACTGTTCACTCAGCTAATTAGTCTTCTATTACGGCTCTGTGCTTCCCCGTAATACTTTCCTGTCACCCGTGGGAGCGGTCTGACAGCTCGCAATTAATGCTTGCAGACCACCTCCACTTCTGCACGTAACCTGTTATGTCCTCTAAAGGACGTTCCTCTCGTCGTCAGCACTTCTTAGCCCAACTGCCTTCTTCGATAACCCTTTCTGCGGTCGAGAAATCTTCATCCCTTAGCGTCGACGGCGAAATTGGTCAACGCCACAAAGGATCGTCGCCCTATCTTGGACTTCATCCTTAGGCCTTCGCAGCGGGGTATGAGGAGTCTGCAAGCGTCGAGCGTTCCTTAGTTGATGGGGATTAATCAAGGCCACGTGTCGCGGTATACTTTGTCCACGCGTCCGCCACATTTTCCCACACAACACATTTTATAAAATTTCATGAAATTATAATTTTCTTAAATTTAATGTAACTTTGATACAATATTACAGGATCACAACTATTTACATTGAATTTTTTTTTATTTCAATCGGCTTTTTACTTTAATATTTATTTAACCTGATCACAATTCCAAACTTATTCTCGTAGTGTGTTTATTCATGTCCAACATGTAACTTTTCTTATTTACTACATTTTGCTCATTTTTATGTTCTCGTAAAAGAAAAAAAATTGAAAAAAAAAAGATATGAAAGTCAATGTAACTTTTTTTTTTTTAAAAGATCAATGTAGAGAGATCTCAAAAGTACAGGAAATTTCGCTGGATAAACAAACAGAAAACGACAAAAGGTCAGTCAATTAACAGAAGAGAGGTATCAGAATCTTCGAGAAAGTACCGGACAAATCTTCCACCAATCTATAAATACCAAACACAACGACAACTCCAACCATCTCAGAACAAAATTCAACAATTCACAGTTTTCCAATCGAAAATTTTCTCTCTCTACCAAATCTTATACTGTTCTACACAAACACAGCAAGGCTAATAATCATAGAAATGGCATTGATTCCGAGCTTGTTCGTCGGCCGAAGAAATAACATCTTCGACGTGTGTGACCCTTTCAAGGAATTCGCCTTCTCTTACCCTTCTCTCTCCGGCACGGAAGCTCTGGTCAACGCTCGCGTTGACTGGAAGGAGACTCCGGAGGCCCACGTATTCAGCGCCGACGTGCCGGGGCTGAAGAAGGAGGAAGTCAAGGTGGAGGTCGAGGACGGAAGAGTTCTGCAGATCAGCGGAGAGAGGAGCGTCGAGAAGGAGGACAAGAAAGACACGTGGCATCGCGTGGAGCGTAGCAGCGGAAAGTTCCTGCGGCGCTTCCGGCTACCGGAGAACGCGAAGACGGATCAAATAACGGCTTCGATGGAGAACGGGGTTCTGACTGTTACTGTGCTTAAGGAGGAGGTCAAGAAGCCTCATGTCAAATCTGTTGAGATCTCTGCTTGATTTGTCGTTTCTGTTTGATTGTTCATATATTGTTGTGTAATTATGCTGATAATAAATACTGTAGAAACTGTATTTGAAATTAAATTTGTGAATCAATAAATAAATAATGAGTCTATAATTCTGTATTTGTTCTCCGTTATCTCCAATTTTCTGTCCACTATTATTTATAAAGCTTCAATTTAGCAATTAACCAAAAGGAGCTCAATTTGGATAAACGAAAATGGGCATATAAACGCGTTCGAATATAAAGCTAGATGTAGAGAAAAAATGCTTTCATTATGTAACTTGTCAAGCTGGAGCATACAAGATCACTTCTCTCCAGCTTCTACGTATCCCTGGGAAAGGCAAAGTTTCATGGGTTCATGCTCTTTTCTAGTCAATTTTTGCATTATGTAACATTTCTTAAAGCAGAAGCTGGCTGTGAATCACACTTTTATTGCCTTTCTCATCTTATAGTTGACTCGAGGAAATTAACATTAGAACTCAATGAGTACGTCATTTTGCAAACTAGTATAATTCGTCGATCGTCGTCAACCTAAAACAAGGAACATTTTTCAATTAGCAAGAGGGACTTTAAGATCATTATACTTCGAGTTTGGTTCAACCTTTGAGAGTTTACTCCAAAAATTAAAAACCCTATTTCCTATAATTAGATCCACAAACAGTGCTTAATTGAGCATTCAAATTCAAAACATCACAAACCACGCCTTAAAACAAAATAATAACACAAAACTATAATTTGCTCTATCGTATAAAATACGTCCTTTTTATTATACGGAATACATGTCTTACAAACAACTGATTTCAACTCTATTCCACAACAACAATACACGCAGAAAATACTAAAACTCACACACCTCAGATCTGTTCCACAATGCACTTAATAATGAAACCTATAGTTTTTTCCAATATTCTTCTTCAGCCAGATATCTGAACGGCTACGACATCAGGCTTCTTAACCTCCTCCTTAGGCACAGTCACAATGAGGACCCCTTTCTCCATCGAAGCCGTTATCTGATCCGTCTTCGCGTTCTCCGGCAGCCTAAACTGCCTCTGGAACTTTCCTCCGCTGCGCTCGATCCTGTGCCACGTGCCGCTATTCTCCTCCTTCTCGATTTTTCTCTCTCCGCTGATCTTAAGAACTCGGCCGTCTTCGACCTCGACCTTGACTTCTTCCTTCGTAAGCCCCGGAAGATCGGCCTGGAACACGTGAGCTTGGGGAGTCTCCTGCCAATCGATTCTGGGGTTTGAGAAAACCAAAGTTTCGCGGAATTGAGCTGGTAGTAAGTGGAAGGGATCCCAAACGTCCGGGGAGAAGGGATCAAAGACGTTGCGAATGTTTGGAATGAGCGACATTTTTTCTCGGAGATTGTTTGGTTGCATGGAAAGTTTGATTGAGGATATTGAAACAGATATATATACATATATATTGTTAATGAGAAGTTCTGCTCAGTGCCCGTCTGTAAAGAAGCATGATTGAGGTATTTATAGAATGGAGTCGTGGAGAAGATGATTCGGGTTAAAGAAAACGTGAATATGATTTTTTTATTCGTGGGCGAAACTCCCTATGACTCTTGCTTGCTTTCTATTGGTAACACGTTGGAATGGGCCCGAAAGTCGTACATATAATTGAGAACTCTTTGCTTCTTTGATAAGAAAAAAGAAAAGAAAGCAAGAAAAGTTTTTTTTTTTTTAGAATACGGAAATATTTTTTTTTTAGATTGAAATGCAAAAAACAGAGTATTTTTATGTGTATTATTATATTTTATTTTAGGTATTGTTCAAGTCATATTATTACAGTATTTTTTTAAATGTAAATTTAAATTTATTTTTTTTATTATAATATTTTTCTCTCACATACACAACATAAGTCGTAACTTGAGTTCTTTTAGTTTTTTCATTAATTAAAATTAATGATAAAATAAAATAAAAATAACTTTTTCACTATAACATTTTCTTTTTGAGCATCAGATAACAATTCCATGTGTTTGAATGGAATAATTCCAATACAAATACTAATGTCGATTGTATATTTAACATAAAAAAGAGTGATATAATATGTTATTTTTATTTTTGCGCCAAGCATTATTTGAAATGCTAAATTTACTTTAAGCTTTAAAAGTTATAAAAGTAAACTTTTATCTTTAAAATAATTAAAAAAATATAAAAGTTTTGATGATTATATGAAAAAATAAACATTTTAATCGATAGAAATCAAATGTCAAATTTTATATAAGCTATATTTGGTGAGAAATTTGTCACAAAATATAACTCACGCGAAATTTAACAAAACAAATAACATTACATTGGAGAGTTTTTTTGTACTCAAATGTTAAATTTATAATTATCACATCAATTAAACATTACATTAGAGATGCTCAACTGTATTTTTAGGGATGGTATTACTAATTTTTCCTAGTTTATGCGTTATATTGAGAATGGATCAACTCATTAAATCCTTTCCCTTCTCCGACGCACCAAAATATTGTATGGTTAGTTCTATTTATGTACCTTATTCTTCACACTTTTTTTAAATATACACCTCACATAATTTTAAGACGATTAAATTTATTTAAAAGGGATGTGAAGAATAAATAGGGGTATTAACAAAGCTGTTTATACTTAAATTAGCCTCTCTGCTTCCTTCTTTAATGAGAGAGAAAAAAACTGATTTTTTTTTTGTTTTTAGTATTTTGAGAGATATATTTATACATGTATAGAAATTTGAAATTGCTTTATTGTTTGGCCATTTGGACCAAAATGGTGCCGTTTTGGTAAAAATGTTCCCTCTTCTATTTTTTTAACTCGTTCATTTTATTTTTTATTTTTACTTTTATCTTAAAATTTATTTTATCCGTTTTAGTTCTTTTTACCTTAAAACTTATTTATTTATTCATTTTTATCATTTTTCACCATTTCTTTAACCCTAAAACTTTATTTTTTTCCGTTTGGGTTTTTTTTGAGTAAAACTTATGTATTTCTTTATTTTAGTCTTTTTTGATAATTTTATTTTTATTTTGAAATTTCATTTATTTTCATTTTAGTTTTTTTTTCCTAAAACTTATTCATTCTTCATTTTAATCCTTTTCTAATCCTTTTTATTTTTGTACTAGTTCATTTTGCCTAAAGCTAATTTATTTTCTCATTTTAATTTTTTTGACTTTTTTTTTATTTTTGCCTTGAAACTTTTTTTTTTTTTCCATTTTAGCTCTTTTACCCCGTCACTTATTTACTTCTTCATTTTAATCCTTTTTTATCATTATTTTTTTACTTCTTGCGCTAAAACTTCATTTTATTTAATCTTTTTTGGGATTCCATATTTAGATCATATTTATTTTTAATAATAATACGGTAAGTAAACTTAACACACAAAATAATACAGTAATTAAAACTTAACACACAAATTACTCTCCACATGAATAACACGTAGAGTTTAACTAGTAATACTAGATAGAAGAACTTGAAAAAAAAAATTACTAGAAGAGACTACCAAAAAAAAATCTTAGAAGGATTGCTCTTTTTTTGCCCTTTTCAAAGTGAAAAGGATTAAAACAAAGAAGAAGAAGTGACCAGACTGATTAAAAATTAAATATGAGTAATCTTAATAAATACTTTTTAAAAATACATGAATCAAGATTTTTATCATTTATTTTTTATTCATAATCTTTTTAATTAAATAATTACACTAATAAAAATATATGTATTAAAAATGAGGGGTAAAAATATAGATTCAATTTTTCATTTTTTCATTAAAATATCGGTCAAAAACCATCTCTTTACACTCCAATCTTCCGTCGTTTGGGTTAACGATCTTTGGGCCGGCAGACAACTGGATCACACGAAAAGCCCAGCAGAAGGTCCGCGATGGGTCCGGAATGCTCCAGTCCTATCTCTTCTACAGTAAGGAACCAAACTGGCCGTAACTACCAGAAGTTACCAGAACATTCTTTCGTCATTGATAAAACCCAATCATCTCCACCTTCCGAAACCAAGAGTGAAATCACAGAAATTTGCAACTTCTCTCGAAAATTTTGAAAGCCAATCTCTAGTTCTCTACTATATTTAACTCTCCTCTCCTTGAATTCAATCTTACTCTCAGATATGTCGCTAATTCCAAGCTTTTTCGGCGGCCGAAGGAGCAGCGCCTTCGACCCCTTCTCTCTCGACGTGTGGGACCCGTTCAAGGATATCCCTTTCCCCAACTCTCTCTCCTCCTCCGGCTCCTCTTTTCCCGAGCTTTCTCGTGAAAATTCTGCCTTCGTCAACACTCGAATCGACTGGAAGGAGACTCCGGAGGCGCACGTCTTCAAGGCCGATGTTCCTGGGCTGAGGAAGGAGGAGGTGAAGGTGGAGGTGGAGGACGATCGCGTGCTCCAGATCAGCGGAGAGAGGAAGACGGAGAATGAGGACAAGGGCGACACGTGGCACCGCGTGGAGCGTAGCAGCGGCAAATTCCTGCGGAGGTTCCGGCTGCCGGAGAACGCGAAGATCGATAGGGTTAGCGCCGCCATGGAGAATGGGGTTCTCACCGTGACTGTACCTAAAGAGGAGGTCAAAAGGCCCGATGTCAGGGCTATTGAAATCTCCGGCAATTGAGTCGTTTTTATTTCGTTGATTGTTGTCTTTAAGTAAAGATCGTTGAGGATCTTTCATACTATGTAGAAATGCAACCTTCTGCTTGTGTCGAAGTGTCTGGTTGTCTGTTATGTGAAAGTGTCTGTAATCTTAATCCTATGAAGTAATCAGTAATATCACGTTTTAAGTTACTTTTCTCTACTCTTCAGTGACTTGTTAATTAATTGATTGGGAGATTAAAGAAAGCAAAAAGTCCACATGAAAGCCATATAATTATGAGCATGCGTATGAAAATGAACTCGATCATTGTATAAGAAAGAGAGGAGAGGATTAGGTTCCCATATGGTGCTGGATTGGTATCAGGTTCGACTAGGAACTGCTGGAGACGATTGGCATTTTTGAATTCTGATCAAAGAAAGTGGGATACAGGAGTTTTAGTGTGGTTAATTATAGTATTTTAGAAGAGAAACGGGGCATTGTTCTAGAGGAAGGAAATATGATGAGTTTCACTAGGGTTTGATGTTGCTATTTCTCCTGTTGAATGCAAAATGGTGAAATATTGAGCTTTATAGGCACCGCGCAATTTAACAATGACAACTGACTACTTACAAAAGGTTACAATATTACAAATATATATATTTATATATATATATAGTTATAATTAATTTTGATAAGTTACTTTTTCAATTTATAAAATTATTATACTATGTTTTATGTTGACGATGATTGTGCTAAATTAGTGTCAAAAAACACGTTGAATAAAAAAATTTCAACATCTTAATTTAAATGTAGCACAAATTTTCAATTCCTCAATTTTTATTCCTTTAAATCTAATAATAAAAATTTTGAGCGATTTTTGTAAAACGTGGTACATTTCAACAAATTTACAAGTTCAAGAGATTGATTGTCGAAATTAAAAGCTTAAAGAGTAATTTGCTAAACCACGACAAGTTCAGGAGAGCTAAAAATCTTACCCCTTATTTGGTTGCATATTGATTTTAGATTTGAGTTCAATTCACCCCAAAATTAAAGGTTTTATAAAACTTTATACCCTCTTCTTTAAAGTTTTTTAGGTTCTGACCTAAAACATTGTTCACAAAACTAATTTAAAGGTTCTCACTAATTATTTTTACTCATATCTTTTAAAAATCCATAATTCTAATAATGTAATTTCGCTCAAATTTTATTTACTGTTTAGACCTTACACAACTAAACTTACATATAAATTTAAGGGAGAAAGAGAAAAATAGATCAAGACTTGAGATGAATTAAAATTAATAGGCCAATAGTTTACATAAGTTAATAAATAGGCCAAATTACTGTTTTCGCCCATAACTTGTTTGGTTATGAACCATAACTTGACAAGTTATTCACAGTTTTTATCCATAACTTGTCTGGCTATTAATCATAATTTGACAAGTTTGTTCATAACTTATCTGATTATGAATCATAACTTAACAAGTTATGGCCTATTAATTTCTATAACTAAAAATTAGCTATATACTTTCTTAAACTTTTCATATTGACCTATTTTCTATATTTTCTTAAATTTAAACCCACACAATTTAAATCGGCGAAGTTTTAGAGTGTGCATGGTTGAAGGATTGGGCCAATGCATGATCACGTTTGTTCGCTCAGATTCCAAAATATGGTTATTTGATCCGACTAAAAAAGTTCTGCCGTTTAGTTTTGGATCTGACGGGGAATGGACTTGGCCCATATCTCTTCAAAACCAATCTGGGTTCAAAAGCGAATGGCCGAAGAACTGCCCATTTCATGTATCTCTACAGTGCAAATTCTGTTCTAGTAAACTTGTTATTAATACAACTACTTATCAAAAAAATAAAAATAAAAATAAAAGAAGAAAAAGAGAAAAAAAAAAAAAAAAAAACGAAACAAATTATGAGTAGTGGTACTACCGAGCAAAACTCTAATTCTTTTTATTATTATTTGATTCGAAAACTCACCCCGCAAAAAAACGCAGTAAAAAAACTGAGAGCAATAGTAGAGATCAATATGGCTAATTGGATGCGAAATGGGATTGAAGATGATGGATATGGCATTGGCAAGAAGTCTCACAGAATCTCAGCCGGATTTCCTGCCTGGTTCTGTCTTGTTGATTAATTTTCATTTGGTTTTTAAACCTTTTGCTCTGTAGCTACTAGCTTGTTCTTCAATAGAATCCCATTTACCAATAAAACAAGTTGATAATTAACAGAAAAAAAAAAAGAACCATGCACACTCTAAAATCTTAGAAAACACATCAACTTATCATAAAAATACATTATGCGTGAGAAATTGACCCTGTGTCAACAGCTAGATTAATATCCTTAACATATATATATATGTTTACGTATATGTAACATCTAGAATATCCATGTAGCATTAAAAGTGGTACTTTTATATTAATCCAATAACTATCTCCAGATTCCCGGAATTCCTTAAAAGAAAGAAAGAACCATCGCCAGACTTTTTAGATGCCTAAATATATATAAGATGTTGGTCGTACACCATTCCAACAACTCCAAACCGATTGGCTGAGATTGCTTTCCCCAAACATGATTAATTTGTATTCGACAAAAGTGCATCACCATACGCTTTATTCGGCCAACAACACATGTGAAAACTATTTGTATTTTTGCCCTGAACTAGTTACTAGTCAACAGTACATACATACAAAAAGCAACAGCGAATTTGGCTATGCGACAAACAGATATGCCAACGTCAGATAGCCAAATTTCAACCTTTAGCCAACAAGAAAGAAAAAGGGCAAAAAAAAAAAAAAAAAAAGTATGACCGATTTCTGCGGAGAGGAAAGATTTCAGACCTAAATATGATGGCATTCACATGAGGCTAATATTTAACATCAACTAATGTATTATTGCTTCAATAGCTTATGATCAAACTTGGATAATATGAGCTATTGAGCTTTATCATTTCGTAAAAGTTGCAATGATTTTCAAGATGACGATCCAGTACTTTTTTCTTATGGAAGATGATTAATTTGGACAATCTTTTGGACATTCTTGACAATAATTTTGTGGTGTGCAGTTTCAAACCTACCAGAATTTCTCAAACAATTGTGGTATTTTAATTCAATTGCAACTTAACATGAATTAAACATTTTTCATTGATAAATGTTTTTTTCTCACGTTAATAAACATTAAAAGATTGTATTTACTAGTCATGAAAAAGTGATACTCACCACTTGAGTTGATATCAAGAATTAGAATTATAATTAGGACATCTAGCACTACTCACTACTACGTACTCAACTCTGGGAAATTATTGTTCATTAACTGTTTAGAGTTTCGAATCAGAACCATGGAATAGTAAAAAAGAACTTATGTCAAGAATTTATTTAATTCTCTATTGTCATTATTTATTATCCTATAATTCATATTTGTCCATGACAAAAAAGAGATCTCTTTTTCTCCAACTCTTAAATATGCTAATATTACAGTAGTTGTCATTTAATTATTGTGTTCCCTGTATATATCGCCCATAATTTGAGACGAAACACTGCTTAAACCGCTGCTTGGTTGTATATTAAGAATATATATATGACGTATTACGACTTGATCCATTATCCTGTATATGAACCTAGGACAAAATTAGCAATTGGGTGATATTAATGTTAATACAAATAAATAAATAAAAAAATTATGGTAGGATAAACATTTTCTAAAAATCACAGAGTTCTTAAACGTCGGATCCATATCAGATTTTATTAAATCAGTGTAGATTTAATTATAAAAAATTGTGTCCTATTTTTTTTTCATGCTATGTCATATAACTTTCTTAAAAAAAAAAAGATAATCATTTGCTTAAAATGAATAAATAAACTAACCAAGGTCGTGCAAAAATGAGATCCTTGAGATACATGCATGGAAAATGGCACGTAGGGCTGAGATGGATGAGTTGTAATAACTGTGGCTTAAAATTTGGCTTGCAACTTGCTTTGAAGATTTGTCCGACTTGTGACTGAACCCCATGTGACCCTTTGCACCAAATTTCAAACACATAAATGTATCCATTATTAAAAATAAAAAATAAAAAAAATAAAAAAAAACCATAAATGTATCTGACACTGCTATTCTTATCAAGTGTACCCCCACTATATATGTAAATCTATGTATATATGTGTATGTATAACATAGCAGACGTAAAAATTTTGGACTTTGGATTCTTAATATGTCAGCACGTATCACTTCTCTGCTATGCAATAATATGACCAATGTTGGTACATCTGTTGCTGTGCTTTATGGCTTTCAACTTTGTAATTACGTTCCTTTTTTTCTGACAATTATAAATTTGGAGAAGAGAAAAACACAGAGAGAGAGATAACATGAACGGAAATGAGGTTTTCTTTTGTCCTTTTTTTTTTCCTTTTTGGAAAGAAAAAAAAAGCGAATGGGGTTAAGGACCCATAATTGTCTAAAATCACTCATAATGTGGGCTCAAAATCTTTAATCCCATGAGTGCTGGTAATAAAAGTACTGATCCAGATCCTTTGCGGATCACAATCACATAGGAGACGTTTGGTTCATGAATTAGAATCATAAGATTAGAACCATTTTCGATTTACGTGTATTTTTTATGAGAAAAAATACTATAACGAATCATGAATCATGATTCAAATCGGAATACGAATCCCTCAATTAAACAACCCCATAGTATTTCAGCTTAGCTTTTGTCTCCTATTAATAATACGACAAGCAAAATTGAGTTGGGGAGAAAGTATTATGTGTTTCTAATCACTTTCACTTGGGATTTGTTTTATTCGTTAATTGATACTTTTAAATTTAAGTATTTATAAGTTTTTAAGCATTTTTGTTAGTTTAATGTGTTTTTATTTTATTTTTGTAGGTTAAAGTTAAAATGTAATAAAATGAACAAAAATTTTACTTCGAAACATACTTTAATATTTGGGATATAACTCTCTTATCCGAAGTTCGAATGAGATGATCTTAATGACGTTGGAAAGATAAGAGATAAAGCTACAACTTTCATGAGACACCAAACACTAATTCGGCCATATAGAATGCTAAAATTAAATCACACACCCGTTACGTCAGGAAATCCATACGATGCAGCAGATTTCCTGTCCAAGAGCAGGAAAACCACACACCCACTCCAGCAGTTGCACCAGTTTCGCTAGGATTTTTTTAAAAACTTAGCGGCGCTGCATTGGAAAATTG